AATCCAGAGTTAATTCCCCTCGGAGAAACCCAAGTAAACAACTAAATCCAGAGTTAATTCCCCTCAGAAAGCCCCAGCCCTTCCAAAACAATTAAATCCAGAGTTAATTGCCAGGATGGGAGACTGGAACCGGCGCTGCATCTGTTGAGAACAATTAAATCTAGAGTTAATTGTCAGGATGGGGGGTTGTTCAACCCCAGAACCCTAAACAATTAACTACAGAGTTAATGTTTTTAAACTCTTGTATTCATTGTTTTTCGGGTTTAGAGTTTAGGGCTTACTGTCACTCCTCCTGAATGTAAGGACCTTAGTAGTTAGAATAGGGTTTTGGGGCCCATTATACTCTAGTTTTAATAAGGAACAACCAAAATAGTATTGGCAATTATTCAGGCCCCTACATTAGTCATCTCGACCCTGGGTCAAGGCTTTGTCTCCTGCAAGGCCGGCTACCTTTCTCTCTCGCACTCCTCGTCGTCGAAATTTGTAATATCTGGGGAGCTTCTTCTTGAAGCGCGCTTCGTTCAACAAGGGATCCTTCCTTCTTGTTCCCGGTAGTCGGTGATGGCGACCTCGGGCGACGGACAGCAAAGGCTTGCGCGGCGGAGAGGCCGCAAACGCCCACACATGGTGGGACATGGGAGCCTGCAAGTTGCATCGAAAGACGGGGGAACCCGGCAGACACTGCCCCCCAAACCCTAAACCCTAAACCCTGCAGTCACCACAGAAGCCTTGTCTTCAGTTATGTAAAAGAAGGGCCTTACTAATTAGAATAGGGTTTTTGGTGGTATACTACACTATAACTCTAATAAGGTGCCCCCAAAATATAATAGGTAATTATTAAAGTCTCTATAGTACTTGGAATCAAGAAGCTGCCGACCTCTGAATAAACCCCCAAGCCTAAACTTAGGATTTAGGGTTTAGGGTTTAGGGTTTAGGGTAACCCCATAATGAACCCTTCTCAATTTTTCAACCAACCCACCCCCCAACATGGGGATTTTCCTTGCACTCCGGCCTTGCAGGGCAAAACTCGTCGATTTTTGAACCAGGGCGTCGGGGCTGAGCGTTTACGGTTTGGGGTTTAGGGCTTTAAGGTTTGTTTAGGGTTTAGGTTCGTTTAAGGTTTAGGAAATAGCTCCGGGGTTGAGGGTTCAGGACTTAGGGCGCCCTATTCCAAAACCCTAAACCTAAAGCCCAGAACGCGGCTCCTTGTCCCCATGGAAGCCAATCTCGCCGAAGAGCTTCCTGCAAGAAGCAAGTCTTCCCATCGGAGGTTCCGGAATCATTAGAGTACGGCTCTTTTGAGTGGATCGATAACTTATACCCTAAACCCTAAACCCTAAGCCCTCAACCCTTAAAGGGCTACAATATTTGAAAATAGAAGACGGTTTGGGGCTGTATTATTTCATAGCACGTGAGTGTAGTAGTTGAAACAGGTTTTGCAAGGGTTCATAGAGGTTCGTAGTAAAGGCTCTGTAAGGCGATATAAGGCATTTGCAAGCTTGTCCAAAGGCTTTTCGGATTTTTTGTACGGTGCTCTCTGCGGGGATAAACTTCAGAGCTTGAGATTCAAGCTTGGGCCGGGATTTCGGCTTTTAAGGTTTAGGGTTTAGGGTTTAGAGATTGGGGTTTTTGACGGACATGCTTGTGCAATCAGCGCGCGCCCAATTCCAAGCATCCGGTGGTAGGAAGAGCACCGGGCAAAAGAGCTGCTAAAGAGCTACAAAAGCGGAAAAGACCTGGCCCGGCCGTAAAGAGGCCCAAAAAGGCATAGGCCCAAAACTTGGCGCAGAGGGTCTCCAGGCAGGCCCGGGGGCCGCCTCCCCCGCACCCTCGGGGTCCAAGTCAGACTCTTGGTACACCCGTCTGCACAACTCGCTCCTAGCGAGATGCACTGCTAAGCGCTTCAAAGTCCAGAATTCAGTCCTAAAGACTTCGCAGCGAGAGCCAAATGCGTGCCTCATGCCTATGCCTGGTACCTCGTGGCACTTAGAGAGGTGAACCGACAAGCGGCGGTAGGACGCAAATTGCGCGCTGCAAAACTAGCACTTATGGGAGAAGGCCGGCCCCACGCAGCTGACGACCTCGAGGCTGGCACCTGCCTCCTGGCGCCGGAGGACATCGCGCCAATCAACCGGAGGACATTCAGCCCTGCGCTTGCGTAAGAAGGCCTTGCAGGCCACGCGGATGCGATCAGCCTGCTCCTGAACCAGGTCCGCAGCAAGGGCGGCTGGCAAGTCAATAACCGCGGCAAAGACCGGCGTAAAGCCCAAGGAAGAGTAAACTCGGTCCGCTGCCTCGCATGCCGCACGCAGCCACACTCCATCTTGGACAAAACCCTGCCATGCCGGTGCCATATCATGACGAATAACCTTCGCCAGTGCCCGCGCCCGGTAGACGTCAAGAAGGCTCGTCCGGGTCTGGGACGTCCAGGGCCGCCAGTACTTCCCGCTGCGTCATGCGGGCAGAGCTGTTGCCAGTAAATGAACTCCCGCTCAGCCACCGTATGAAGCCGCCAGAGGCCAGCGCCGTAGTAAAACTTCGGCAAAACCCTGCCTAAAAGGAGGTCCCTTTTCTCCTGGAAGGTCAGATAGGGGTTGTGCATGAGCTTGTTGCAAAGCGGCTTAAAGGCACTGCGCATGAGGGCACCCCTGTGCCGGAGGTTGGCAACCTCAGAGAGTTCAGAGCACACAACCGTGCCAAGGTGTGTGTAGCTCTGAACTATGCGAAGCCGAAGTCCTGTGCCATCAGACCCGGAGACAAGGAGTGGCACGGAAGGGTTATCAGCCGTAAGGAATGCGTGCCGCACAGTGCGAGAGGCAACCCCGCGCATGGTAGCAGGGCCTCCTTGCCCGGCCCTAAATTGGCCTCGAGTCCCAGGCAGTGTAGCCTTGAGACCACCTGACTTCCGAGCTCTGACAAAAGCCCCGGAACCTGCTCGGCGCGGTCAGCCTGGAAGAGGACCACCACGTCATCAGCCCAGGTGGGAGTTTCAGCGCCTTCGCCACCTTGCTGGAGAACCTCAATATGAGGTGAGGCACAAGCGGAGCGGAGGAAGGCTTCCATGCCGTGGAGGAAACGGCTAAAGAGAACAGCGAAAAGGACATCGGCGACTGAAGAGCCTGGCGCAAGTACCTGTACGGGTGGCGTACAGTGTGGTGCCAGGAGCACCGTCAACGTACCATGTCTGATTAAGCTGCGCAAGGACAATGCGATGGACCTCAGCAGGGAGTTGAAGGGACGACAACCAGCGCCCCTCACGCATCTCCTCCAAGCACACACGCCTGGCTCCAGGGTCAGAAAAGAAGAGCTTGGCTCGAGACGTAAGCTCAGCCTCTGTCCATTTGCAGTGTGGCCCGGCTTCGTAGTAGTCCCGAACGACTGAATAAGAGGCACTTGCACAGTCGACAAACAACGCTCCTCCAGAGAGGCCGGCAGCCTTGAGCTTGCAAAGATGCGCCCGGAGGAGCGAAGCAGGTTGCTCAAGTGTGCGACGTGGGATGCCGCCGAGCTGACTCCTGGTCCGGGCCGACTCCAGGGTGTCGACAAGAGCCGGACGCCAAGCTCACTGGTAAGCCTTTGAATCAGATTCCAGCAGCAAGATTGCCCGCCACCCTTTGACAGTGCTGGCATCTTTGCCGCTTTTAGGAATTGAGAAGGCAACTCCTCCACTCCATTGGATGGGGTTGCAGCCCCTGGCGAGAATTTTCAGGGACACGTACGCCAGGGCTGCCGTAATGGGGTTGCTGGTGTACACTCCGCCCCGGTGAAGGCCCGAAAAGCCCCTGACAAGATGGACCAAGGAGGGCGAGTTAACCGCCTCGAGCACGGCAGGCAGCGGCCTATGAACCGCATCTGAAGCGACAAAGTCAGCTGGCGGCACTGCCTGCGCTCTTTCAGCTGCAGCGTACGAAGCCCCAAGCAGCCGGGTAACCGAAGCTTGCCCAACATGGTCCTCCCCGCCAGCTTGAAGCACAGACAAGACTTTGGGGGGCTTGAACCTGCATCCTTGTCGGGTGAGCGACCTGATAAGGTAAGCGAACCGAGCAGGGCCAGCGTCCCGTGCCGCAGCGATCTGTTGTCGCGCGAAGGCCGCCTTATCATGTTGCATAGCATCCCGCACCCGAGTCCTTGCCGCACTAGTTAGGGCCACAACTTCAAGGAGGCGTCTAGTGGCACGAAGAGAAGCCCTGCAAGCTAAGGGTTCAGTGCTGCCTGGTCGCCACGCACTGAAGATAGCCTGGAGGCGGGCAAGTCGATCAACCCTGGCCGAATGGCGGAGAACCTGGCGGAGGAGCCGGTGGCCCCGAACGAGCTCAAGGGTATCGGCCGAGACTGCTGGGTGCCTCGCTTCTTTGGGCTGCTTGGGCAGGCAAGACGTCAATTGAGCGTTGATGTGTGCATGAAAAATCTGAACATGCGTGGTCGCATCGACATCCCATGTCACCGCAGGGAGAGTAGCGACCGTAGCAGCAGCCAAGTGCTGACCGTAGAGGCTGCCAAGGGAAGAGGGGCTGATAGAGGGCCGGGGCTGAGCAAAGGAGCCCTCCATTGATGCCGTGATGCCTGCCAGGAGTGGCCAATGGTCAAAGCCCTGCTGATCATTGAGAGAGGGGGTGTCAAATGTGGTAAGGCAGGGCCCCCAATCCTTGGGACAAAGAACATAGTCAATGGCACCGTCTTGTCCCTGCGGGCTGGTCCATGTCTTAATGCGTGTCCCGGTTTCGCTGAAGAGGGCCGTAGATGCCAGGCCAAACTCCGAAGCAAAAGCAACGAGTTCGGTACTGTTGCGGCTCGAGGTCCACAGCCCCAACATCATTAGGCTCAGCCGCATGGAAGCGCGCATTGGCATCCAGGCCGGCTAGAAGAACACAGCCGCGAGGGATGCGCCGGACCTGCGCCGTCAGGAGGCGCCACCACTTGTCCCGGCGGTCAGCAGAGGCTTTAGCAAAGGGCGCGTGGCCGGAGACAAGACCAACCTGGAGAGGACCTGCGGCCACAGTCGCAACAAGAAGCTGACTGTCTGAGTAGGTGATAGAGAATGAAGCCCTATCCCAGTGTATCGGCTTGCCCCCATGCAGTGCGACTGAGGAGTACCTATTAAGCCAAATCTGGCAGCCCCCAACTCCTTGATCATCGCAAGGGGAACTCAGGACCCAGTGGTCACCAATCATCCGTACGGGATCTCCCGAGAGGCGAGTTTCCTGCAGCATAGCAACCGCCACTTCGAGACCGGAGAGACCGCTGGACATCATCTCCTGAGCTGGTTTACCCCGAAGTGAGAGGCAGTTGTACTGGAGCACCCGTGATTTGATCTGAGCGCAACCCTGGCTGGCAGGCGGCGACGGACAAAAAAGAGCGGGGTCGGCCTGAGTGCTCGTAGGCATAACGCAGGAGGCTGCAGTCCAGGTGCCCTGCGAAGTCACAGGAGGGAGGCAACTGCCGCTAGAGAAACCAGGCGCAAGCATCCACAACCAATCCGCAACTCCCTCCCTGACGCCTTGCCAAAAAACCTCGGGGTGAAATTGCCATGAAGTCGGAAGAAGCCCCTTGGCAGCGCATTTCGCCAGGCCGTCGGCGAGGTCGTTAAAAGCACATCCGACATGTGAGCGCACATGAAGGGGCGCCACTGCCTGGTGGAAGGCTGTCGAAATCAATGCAAGCCCCACAGCGGCCCTGGCTGCGAGGTCGTCGCGGGCGAATGTCGCCATGCCAAAAGACACAGAAAGAGCAGATGTGCAGTCACTGCCGATGACAGCGGGCACGGGCCGCTGCGACAAAGCAAAGGCTCGAGCGTACACAATCGCTCGAAGCCCCCCCGCATACGCCGAGTCACCCTCACATGTGCCCGCTATGGCACCGATTCGCACAGGCTGTTGTCTGCAGAGGCCCAAGAGCACGACAGACCAGCCCGCACAGGCGGAACCAGGAAAGAAGGAGCTATCGGTAAATGCGTACACAGCTTCCAGCGGGGCCCGTCCATCCCACGCGGGCAAGGAAGACCAGCAAACAGCAGCAGCCGTGGGGAGGGAAGGCATCCGGGGGAGCGTCTGCGATAGCTCTGCAGGGCAAACTCCGAAAGGAAAAAATCCAGCATGTCCGGCGACAGGCCAGAACCAAGACCGGCAGCCGGTGCGGGCAAAAGGCCGTCAAGAGCCAGCGTAACCCTATCAATGTGCTTATCCAAAGTGGGTGTCGTGGCCTTATTGACCTGAGGCACAACACAAGGCAGCAGTGGGGGCAGAGGGCGGCGGCCGAACAGCGGGCCCGAACAAGAGAGCGGCCAGGTGTAAGGCTGGAGCGCGGGGCACAAGGCACAGCGACGACCAGCCGCCAGCCATCCCGACGCCAGGCCTCAGGAAGGACCTGATGGGTGTGCTGCCCGGCGGCATGGAAGTTTGTGCTCAGCTCTTGCCCCAGATGACGTCCATCCCAAACAGTAACTAGAGAACTCGTCTCTTGGATGAGGAGGACGGCTTCCTGGTAGTAGCCCATCCGCAAAGGCTGGGCGCTCGCCAGCACAAGACCGAAGAGGCTGGGCAGGGGCTCGTCGGCTGCGTGACGAGCGACGAGCTCGTAGATAAGCTGGTCCAAGACCGGGTTATTGGCCTCGCAGTCTATGCTGTGTGCATGTTGGCCGCGCAACAGGGTGAGTCTAACACCTGTGGGCAATGGAGACAAAGAGGTCACCCGGGCATTGCCAGCCTGTGCCACACCTTCCATAATACCTGTCTGCATAAGTGGCCTAGGGCGTGGCCAGGTGCCGGGGCTGCGCATTTGGTGCGCGGGAACGTGCTGCACCTGCAAGAGGTCCTCGGCTAAGGCGGCGCCGATGATACCTGCTGAGTCTGCTAAGGCCAGGGCTCCGTCCTGGACCTCGTGCACCAGATTGCGTGGGGCCTGCATCTTGCGCTGCAAGGTAAGTAGAGCCTCTGTCCGCGCGTGCCCGGGGCTGAGGAGAATTGTGAAAATATCTTCCCCAATCCGGCGTAGATCCCAAACAACAGGCCAATGACCAGGCTGTTGGCTAGTGGGCCTTAGGACGATCTGAGGGGCCGGGAGGTGCGGTACGGGATCCATCAAGATCTGGACCGCACTGACCGGGTAGGGTGCGCCCTCAACGGCCGTCGCAATGACCTCTTGCAGAGTCGCGGTGGCATGTATGCGTCCTACGGCATGGTGCCGCACAACATCAAAAACTGCATAAGTACCCCAAGGAAAGCCGACGCATGAGTAAGTCCCAACCTGGGCCCCAAAGAAAGGAGCTGAGCGGACAATGTCCGGGAGCACCTTGACCTGAGTAGCCCGGAGCATGGCGCGGTTGCCGGGGGCCTGTGCAGCCAACAGGCGCTGCCGCGGCTTGGGGGGTCGCTCTCGATCAGCAGCCCCGGCCGCAATCGGAGGGGGCACCATATCAGCATGCACCTCGACAAGCTTAGCAACCGCCGCAGATGCAAGTGGCGGGGCCTGTGGGTGGCAAATGCCAGCGCCACAGGGCGAGGAAGAACGGCCGGCAAGGAGAGCAATGGAGAGGTTAGGAACCGGAGGGGGAACCTCCGACGAGAGAGGCAAAGGCATCTTGGCAGCGCATGAGCCAGGTGCGCCTGCCACTGCTGAGTCGCTCTGCAAAGGGAAACAGAAGCCCCAACCTGGAGCAGCGCCGCGGCATCTTCCGGAACAGCCTCGTCCTGCCCTGTGGCATCATCCGCATGTGCAACCAGAGCCACGGCCTCCGGCGCAGGCAAAACGATTGGCTCGCCCCTAAGGTATTCAGGGTCCGTGCCATCAGCAGGGTGTGCCAGCGCTAGCTGCCTGAAGGGCTCGCCTCCGGATGTGTGAAGAACAAAAGGCTCACGTGGCTGGCTCCTAGCAGGGCAACTTGTGGCACAGACATGTAGTGCCTGATCAACCGTATCCCCTCGTTGTATAGGGATGGCACAAATTCACCCCTGCTGCCGCCTGAAATCAACTGGCATGACCAAACAGTCGGTTGGATCGGAGCGGTCAGTGGCAACGATCTGTGCTGGGTGCAGGTTAGGCAGGCGTTGCAGGAGCACGCGAATGCTTCGCACTCTGGGCATAGTGCCATGAACGTCGGCAACTATATCAGCCAGGGTCCCCCGGCCCGGCATGCGCCTGACTTCCAAATGGGAGGCAGTCGTCAGTAACGCATACTTATCATACTGCGAGGTCTCCCCCACCGCCCCCGCAGACCGGTACCCTGTATACCAACTGAAGGCAGTCAGCGGGAGCTCACGGAGTTCAGGTCTATCCAGGGTCTGTGGCTGGATAGGCACATGGGCAGCAATCATAGCCCGCAAGTCGGGTAGGCTGCTTTTACCTGTGCCGCTGGGAGTGCGTCGTGGATCGAGCGGCCATCTGTCAACTCCGTCTGCAAGGTGGTGGCTTGGCTTGCGACATGGACGTAATGCGATGCTGGGCTCATCCCGCAACCGCTGCGACCGAGGGCGAGGTGAGAGAGGAGAGCCGGCACGGAAGAGGCAAACCTCAGGCTGAGCTGCGAAGTCAACCGCCCTACTTGTCGTTGACAGTCTAAGGCTGTCATGCTGTACAGTACTGCCTTTCAGGCAGTAAAAGACCGGGTTGCCTCGGCCTGCGCCATCCGCCGCGGACTCAGAAGAACCATCCTGGAGCTGCCAATGGTCATGACAACCGACTGTCCGCCTTACTGACTGCAGGCGCCCCACTTCGTCGAGCACATCGGCGCCGTTGACATGTTGGCAGCCGGAAGCCCGGCTCGGGCAACGCCTCGGCGTGTGATCCAAGCGCCGCAATGATCTGGTTCAGGAGGAGCTTGTCCGGGTTGCTTTCCGCTGAGCTGCTCGCCTGTTCGCGCGAAGCAGCTGTCGGCATCGTCGGAGGTGTGGGTAGCGCCTGCATTGTGGGCGCCGCCGGTGCAGCACTCGCAGCGCCCTTTGGCTGCTGCGGAGCCGATTGGGCTTTGCCACCACCCTTCCTCCGAGGTGATTTTAACCGTCGCGGGGAAGCAGGAGTCTGCCAAGCTGCCGGAGGTTTCCACGGAACTCTCTCCGGCGCTGTCCAGTAAGACTGTTGTTGCCAATGGCCACCACAGCCACCGCAATATTCCTGAGTGCCTTTGTTTTGCCGAGAACATACTTTGCACGTCCAGGGCTGTACTTTTGCTCTCGAAGCCATCGTCCGCCTCTGCAGTTCTGCCCGAACTTTTCCAGGAAGACAGCTCCGTGAGTGGTGGCTCTCCAACCTCCTGCACGCGAGGTCGAGAGTTGGCTCGAGAGGGGACGTGTCGCCAGCCAGAAAGCACCGTAGCAGGGTCCTCGCCCTGGTCCTCTGACGTCTTTCCAGCCTGTGTCTGGCTGGTTCCTTGACACGTCGCAGGGGGATCTTGCCCAAGTAGAAGCACCAATAGGCAAATCCTCCAGCACGCTCTCATACACCCTAAATCAAAACTGGGTGTAGAGGTAATAGACGACCTGTGGGTGGGCCAAAAGGATTTCGGCAGCCAACCACAAAATCCGCTGCGGGGCCTAGCCTCACCGCAAATTTGGCAAGCAATATCCAGGGCGAAACCAGGTCAGATATGCAAAGCCAACAATGAAAGGCTGCGTGGGCAATCGCCACACTGGGGTTAAGGCAGCCGCGCGACCACTAAGGGAAACTGACGCGGAGCCGAAACGCCTAGAGATTGGGGTTTAGGGTTTAGGGTCTTACTCTAAACCCTGAAGCCCGGTTATTCCCCAAGACCCTAACAAGACCCTAATAAACCCTATCCAACCCGCGACACCCTCTCAACTCCTATAAAGCCCTATAGAAACCCAATAAAAACCCTGTCAGACCTTTCAAAAGCGCTTGAATACCTTGATAGAGCGCTGCAAACCCACAGCCACAACACATAGAACCCTAGATTACAACCGTAAACTCTAAACCCCAAATCCTAAAACACTAACCCTAAAAAACCTTAATGCCCTAAACCCTGCTAAACACTGCCCTCGCACCCTGCGGCGACAGTGTCGCAGAAGCGGCCGAGCGTCATCTCCTTCCAGGATGCTGATATTAGGTAGGGGTTACGTAGGGTTTAGGGTTTAGGGCTTAAGGATTCTATAGGTTTTGGGGTTTTTGAGTTTAGGGTTCAGTGCTTGGGGTTCAGGGTGTTGGATTTAGGGTCTTGTGTAGGGTCCAGGATAAAAGGCTCAGGTAAAGGCTCTGATTTGAGATCTCCCAACCCCACCTAATGTAGGGGCCTAAAAATTCAATTAGAAAAGGGTTTGGGGGTCCATTCAACTATAATGAAAATAGGGAAACCCCAAAATAGTATTGGTAATTATTTAGGGCCCCATGTTAATTCCATGCTACCTTTTCCGCCTTGCGAGACCCACCCCCAAAGCGCCCGCTGCGTGCCCCCAAAGGGTTTATCGCTTAGGGTTTCAGGTGACATGCGCAGCAACAAAACCCTAAATCCTAAATCCTAAACCCTGAACCCGAAACCCGAAACCCTGCACCAAAACCCCTGCACCCTGAACCCTAAACCCTAAACCCTGAACCCGAAACCCGAAACCCTAAACCCTAAACCCCGAACTGAAGACCCTTCGGCAAGGCCCCTATAGCATCGCCAAGAAACCCGAAAAAACGCCATACCCTGCACCCAAAAATCCAGAGATCCCAATAGCCCTTGATGAAGGAAAATCCCTTCAATCATTAATATTTCAAGCAATAATATATATATATATATACAAAAATATTTTTACATTTAATATTTCAGGCCCCGATAATTTACTGTATATTCCGGGACTAAGGGATATTGGGATCTCGGGGACATACACGCTCCAAAAACCCCGAATCCCTCAACAGTCCAGGAACCAAGCCCGCAACCCCAAACAGGCAGATCTTAAACCCACAGACTAGCCTCTAACCCTAAACCCTAAACCCTAAACCCTAGGCCGCCAAGAGTCGAGGAAAACGGGTTTAGGGCTTCAGAGCTTTGCGACTTCCGAGACTGACTTTTATGGTTCCGGGGTTCAGAAGTTTACTGTAGGGGCCTGAAGTTTAGGGTTTAG